ATGGGCTTGGGCAGCACTGGATTGGGATGTTTTCTTGATGCGCACTTAACCTTTATATAAAACTCTCTCTTACACATGAGTTTCAATGGATTTGTTTCTCTAAAGTACCCAGACTAACACAAACATCAACAAAAAATGAATTAAAATTTTAAAGGAGCGTATGAGTCGGAATCAACTGCATGGTAATGAGTTTGCATTGTTTCTTTTCAAGTGCTCAGAAAGCCTCTAGTGTTTTGGATATCTTGATTGTGGTGCATATATAAATATTAAAATAACTACTAATTAAAATGCTATTAAATCTTGATTTAACTGCACATAGAAGTTGATAAATATTATAAGAAATGAAATTCTAAACAGTACAGTACAAATGTCTTCTACCTGGGAGATAAGAAGTTGCAAGCTTCATGAAGCTCCTAAGTGAACAACAGGATAAGAAGTTGGTGCTCAAAATACCTCCACCCTCTCACTGCTCCATCATTCTTCTGAAATATCTCCATATGCCAGAGATACTGCCAAGCACTTTCCATGCCCATTTTATGTATTCAGTTCATATTAAGTGAGTGTCTGCATGTGCCAGGCATGACAGCCTCTCCATGGTGCCGATGTAGAAATGTGAGCTTAGAAGATATAAGGAACCTGCACCCTGGTCAAGCCAGGAGTCAAACGCAGGCCTTAAGCTTCCCTTCCCCATATCCCCACTGTATCTGTGGTTTTGCTTTGCTGTCTCCCCACTTTCAAGTCCAAGACACTGGTGTGATATTTTACCACTGCCAGCTTAAATAATCCCCAGTGGAATAAACTAAGCCGTTGGCATAGGAGGTGCCCCTTCCATTTCAAACTAAGAGCAAAAACCCCAAGCACTTCCTTTGTAACTGCCCATGCCGACTAGGAAAGTTTATTGCATTGTATAGGGGTTCCTGGTTCTGGATAATTGAGTCTTGAATGCATTAAGCATCTGATGTCTACTCAGATGTCAACTCTTCTAATGTAGTCGAGATAAGACAGGAATTAAGAGTGTTGTAGGGAAAAAAAAGTGTTGTAGACAGACAGTAAAAAGGTATGCCCCAGATCAAGAATGTCACTCACTAACAACTTCCAAAATGAAAAGTTGTGCAAGGCACTGAAATACACAAATACCTAAGCAAATATCAAATCAAAGAATAGAGAGTACAGGCCCTAATTTTTTTTAAGCTACTTCTACAGAAAGGCTCCCATTAGGACATACTTTAATCTCCAGCTGTACCCCCATATTAGCATCTACGTAAATGTAAAGACCCCAACTACAGATGATAGCAGGCAATTCTCAATCATCTGGTAAGATCCTGTGTTCATATATTGGAGATCAGGAATTCGAATTTCTCATTTAACCAGCGGGGGGCAGAATGTAAGTACGGGGCATGAGTCAACTAACAAGTGACTTTCAAATTGTGCTTCTCAGAGATGCTAATGGCTGGCGAACACTGAGCAACAAACTTCACTTAGTCAGAGTGCCACCTTCCCCTGCTTTATACATAAGACTTCAGTCATGTTTCAATGGAATGGAAGTGAGGTTTTGCTGTTTTAAGTTGCCATTGAAAATTACTATCCACTACGAAGAAAGCTGATGGTGCCCGGCTATCAAAAGGTATAGCGTCTGGGGTCTTAAAGGCTTGAAGGTAAACAAGCAGCCATCTAGCTCAGAAGCAACAAAGCCCACATGGAAGAAGCACACCAGCCTGTGCGATCACGAGATGTCGAAGGGATCAGGTACAAGGTATCAGAACAAAAAATCTTACCATAGTGAATGATGGGGGGATTGCGGAGTGAAGACCCAAAGCCCATTTGTAGCCCACTGGAGATCCCCTTACAGAGGGGTCTCGGGGAGGAGACGAACCAGTCAGGGTGTGATGTAGCAACGATGAAAAATACAACTTTCCTCTAGTGCCTAAATGCTTCCTCCCCACCACCACCCCCCACTATCATGATCCGAATTCTACCTTTCAAGTCTGGCTAGACCAGAGGATGTACACTGGTACAGATTGGAACTGGAAACACAGGGAATCCTGGGAGGATGATCCCTTCAGGACCAGTGGTATGAGTGGTGATACTGGGAGGGTAGAGGGAGGGTGGGTTGGAATGAGGGAACTGATTACAAGGATCTATGTGACCTCCTCCCTGGGGGGTGGACAACAGAAAAGTGGGTGAAGGGAGACGTCGGACAGGGCAAGATATGACAAAATAATTAATAATTTATAAATTATCAAGGGCTCATGAGGGAGGGGGGTGCTGGGAGGGAGGGGGAAAAATGAGGACCTGATGCCAAGGGCTTAAGTAGAGAGCAAATGTTTTGAGAATGATGAGGGCAACGAATGTACAAATGTGTTTTATACAATTGATGTATGTGTAGGTTGTGATGAGTTGTATGATCCCCCAATAAAATGATTTTTTTTAAAGAAAAATAGGTTACATAATCTAGTGTATGTGGACTTTTGTACTATTTTTTCAACTTTCTATAAATTATTTCAAAGTAAAACCTGAAAGTGACCCCACTAATATCTAATGACAGATATTTTTATAGTTTCACAGCATTTCTCCACAAATTACTTAATTGCAAGAGAAAAATAATAACTTTTATTGGAGAAATCTGCAAGCTACCATATGAACTAAATGATCAAAGTAAATATAACCTATCATGGGTGAATTATAGTCAATTAATATGGCCCTTGCAGCCATAATCCCTTACAGGATACATCATCATTCTGGACTTCATACGCCTGTGGCTACAGTCCCATTCTAGAGGGCATTATCTGCTGGAAGCCCTGGTGACAGCAGTAACAGGATCACATTGAGTGAGAATCATGAGTTTTTGTTTGTCTTGTTTTTTATCTGCTAACAAACAGGAAGAGAGTGAGATTGAGATCTTCGTAGAGGGTGTAATTCGGGCCACCTTCTTTATTTAATGGTTATCTTGATTACTGTTACTTGTAATGGATGAAGGAATGATCTAATACAACTGAGCGAGTGGAAAAAAGCTGCTTCAGGAGTGGCCTGGGAAGACGCCTGTGTGATTGAGAGGAGGAGGCCAGTGCCTACTGTAACTATCCTGACCAAGGCACTGGGTCATATGCGCATATGTAAAATACAGTCCAGTGGTGAAGAATAGATGAGTATAATATGGTATCATTATAAAGGTGAAGAGTTATATGTTAATTTGATTGAACTATTGATATGCAATGTAATTTCTACCAAATGACCTTAATGATGGGTTTCGCCTGTGAGTAATTGTGAACAGGATTTCCTGCAATGCCATCCTGCTACATACATAGAAAATGAGCTCTCTGTGAAGCAGGGGACATTATCGCATTACCTGCAAGAGTCAGAAGTAGAGCACATCATCCGGATCTAGCATCCAGCTTACCCCTGTGTGACCTTTGATTTAGACTGAACAGTACCCACCACCACGTAAGACATTTCTTCTTCAAATCTTAGTGGGTTTCAATGTGATGTTGCAGCAATTCGCCAAAACCGGAAACATGAGGGAATATATTCAAGAGAGGATTGGGGGAAAACGGAGCTGAGTAGTCTCATGAAAGAGTTGGATATTTGGGGGCACCATCAATCCCCAATTCCTTGGGACTCGTCTAGTACTAATTTTTCAAAAAGTGATTATTACCACAGTAGGATAGTGTTTGTGATATTCTATCAAAAATGCATGAAAAAACATCAGACAAACTCAAATTAAAGAACGTTCTGAAAGTAACTGCCCTGTTTTAACAGTGTTCACGTCAACTTGGCTGGGCCTGGATTCTCCATGATGTGGTCTAACATAAATAATTAACTCCATGATGGGATCTTCTGTAATCAGTCAAGCAATTATAGGAAGAACAGGGTGACCCCTATTCTGGTCAGAGCCTTTATACCGTTAAAAGGAAGTTTCATTGCGGCATGGTCTACTTTTTTGGTTTGTTTTTAATAGTTCCACTGCCAGATACTCCAAACAACTTAATTGTTCAATCATATTAATTTGTGAAATGATCATCATATTCCATTTCAGAACATATTCTTTTTACACTCATTGTTGCTATCTCCCCATTTCATGAATCCCTCCCTACTATGCCCCCTACTAAAAGCTGACACAGTAAGGAAGGAGCTTACTTCTTGCTGGTCGGATGCTGCATGTGGCTCACCCATCTACTGACCCTGGGAGTTATCAGTGGCCTGCCATGCTGTCTGCTGACCCTGGATTCTTCCACTCACACAGCCACAAGTCTGACTTCATCTGCTTCTACGTCCAGCAACCAGCCTGTGATCTTTGTGCTTCCTTACAACCCTCCTCAGCTCCCAGAGTTAACAAGTCAGGAAAAAACTCCAACCAACCATCTGAGCCACGAATTTGAAACCATACTAGACTTGACTGCTACTACAATTGTATGAGCTTCTTTCTTGATTTAAAATCTTTGTACACACACACACACAAGCGGTTTTGCTTCTCTAGAGAACGCAGTCTAGTACATCTGTACTCTTAATAATATGTAATCCAGATTATAGATTCCAGGGTGGGATAAAAAATGGCTATAAACAATACTACTGTGACACATAGCAAAATCTGCCCATCAACTACATATTAGGTAACAGTGTTAGATCATGTGAAATCTCCTGAATTTGAAAATTAACTGTGGTTCTTAAGAAATAACATGCCTACATACTCGTGTATTAGCAGTTTTCCAGGACACTTTTAATGTAGTTTTTGTGGTAAAATTAGGTGCCTCGGCTGATATTCGGGTTGGCTTATACTCACATATATACGGTACTAAAAATATCTGCAACTTATGTTTAAATGGTTCAGGAAGGAAGATAATATACAGGATAACTTTTAAAAGTTCATGGAAAATTGAGTTAAAAGGATGTAATTTCTCCCCAAACTCTTTAGAACCCCCTCATATTTATATGGCAGATAGAGAGACACAGGATGAAACCACAAATATAGCACAATGTTAATTATGTGTGAATGTAAGGAAAGGGTACTCAAGAGTATACTGTATAATCTCACAACTCTCAAAAGAAAAATTAATAATAACCATAAATCATTCTCACTATCAGAGTTGTTCATGGAGGGTATGCAACATCTGAGCGAGCATGTACACACACCTACCTCAGATGCTTTGAAATGCCTTAATGGGGGGAAATATATAAAGAAACCATTTAGGGAGTAGCGGGGAGGGAGGGGAAAAAATGAGGAGCTGATGCCAAGGGTGGAGAGCAAATGTTTTGAAAATGATGTGGGCACTGAATGTACAAATGTGCTTTACACAATTGATGTATGTATGGACTGTGATAAGAGTTGTATGAGCCCCTAATAAAATGATTTTTTTTAATAAAATGATTTTTTTTAAAAGAAAGAAACCATCTATTCAGTAAAAAAAAATATGAACATAAAAACTTTTTTTAAAGTAAAGATAGTAACAAAAATATTAAAATGCACGCACTGGCTACACTCAAGGAGATAGGCTATCAGCTCCTATACAGATTTAGTGTCAGAAACCTAAGGGACAGTTCTACTCTGTCCTATAGGATTGCATAAGTTGTAACTGACTCAATTATGACACGTTTTTAAAGCTACACTATTAAAAGATCCTCAAAATGGATCAAAACTCAAAATTCAGAAATGCACCAAATTCAAGTAGCATTTGTCCATTTTCATAACAGATGATGCTATGTGCCCGATGGTCTCATGCCAGTATTCCTGTCCCCCTTTTCACCTTTCTGATTATTGGCATTTAAGGCAATACAGGCAAAGTTCAACTAAAAGATTTTTATTTCTATCAATTACTACACTTGTTAAATCAGAAAATATACAAGAAAAGGGCAGTTTTAATATGCGTTAACTACATGAAAATTTTTTAATTGTCTTGAGTCAGAGAAGAAATTGTACTCACTTCTTTTGGAGTGTGATTATCAGCAATTCTCTGACCTTCAAAGAGAAACCTGAGTGAATTCATTGGAACTCCCTAAAAAAGGCAAAAATATATATATATATATTATATATGCAATTATATATAATATATATTATTTCTTTAGGAGAAATAATAGGCAGTTTGATACACAAAAAGAAAATACAAGTTTCAACCAGCTACACAGAACATGAGACCAGACAGCAAACTACTATTCTAACTGCCATTCATTGAGTTATTGAGTATCACGCACGAGGGGGCACTAAAAAAAAAGGAATTGTTTTTCTCTCCCCAACCTTCAAAGCTATGTACTTAAATTCTTTTACAAAACAACCATATCACCTTCAAAGTACTCTCCATTACGCTTTATACATTTGTCAAATCTGCGATTCCACTCTTAGAAACATTTTTCAAACTCATCTGCTTGGATAGCTGACAGCACCGCCCTCATTGTTTTCTTCACCTCTATATGTCCTCAAATCACTGTCCTTTCATGTCCCTCTGCATTCTTGGAAACAAAAAGAAGCCGCACGGAACAAGGTCAGATGAGCAAGATGCATGGGCAAGAAAAGTATGCTGTTTTTTGCCAAAAAACTAGCATATTCATATGGCTGTGTCAGCAGGTGCACTGTCATGCTGGCTAAAACAGTCCCCGTCTGCCACAAATCAGGCCTTCTGTGTCACATATTGTTCACGCAATCTTTTCAGAACCTCTAAATAGAAAGCTTGATTAACAAACAGTTTGACCTGGTGGAACGAACTACAAATGTACTAAGATTCCACATTTTTGTCCGTATGGGATGCTGATGGAAGTCCCGAATGAGGGTTGCCATCAATCGACATTTTACCTTTGTTGAAATGAGAAAACCACTCATACACTTGAGTTTTTCCCAAAGCACTGTCCTTGTAAGCTGTGTTCAACATGAGAACCGTTTCTGCGGCATTTTTCCCGAGCAGGAAACAAAAATTTCACAGTCACAGGCTGTTCTCTTAAATCAGCCATCACAAAAAACGAGGTTTGAGAGAAACTATTTTTACCAAAAAATTGACTGTGACCAAAAGAAACCTACCCAGGCAAGGATGCCACTTGGGTGCACTAACACAGAATGCATTGCTAGATGGTCACCTAGTGGGAAAAACGTGTACTACGAAGCTCCGCCCAGCAGAGCTTTTTCCCTTTTTCTTTTTTTTTGTACCCCCTCGTATAATCATAAATATCCATTGCAACAACCCTGGAAGGTAGGTATTAACGTCTTATCTTCATTTTGCAGACAGGATATCTGAAGCCCACAACCAAATATGTAAATTCAAACCGGTCTGATTCCTAAGCATATATCCGTGGCCACTATGCTATTCAGTGAGTATCCTCACTGATTCCAGTGGTACAAGCACAGCTGGATTTAAACAGTTTAAGTCGTTAAAATTCGGGAAAGCACAATCGTCAACCAGACAGACTACAGTAAACATAGAATGGCATAAATACCACAGTAACTATCAGAAACAACGTCAAAGTATATTTTTCTAACCTGCCGATGATAGCTAAAAGGAGGCAGATGACTCCCAGGAAATCATTGCACCAGGAAGTACAAATCAAGGGTCATTAATTATACTCAGTGATACAAAGGTTTTACTTAATTAACTAATAGCATTAAGACTTTCACAGTTTTAGACATTCAAAGAAATTAAAACTATTAATACATGGTTTTACATAACTATATACGATCCTGCAAACTGAAATTCACTTAATTTCTCTTTAGGGACATATTAAATAATTAAGCATAAACTGACACCAGTAGAATATTTTAAAATTTCAATTATAGATAGGATTGCTTCTTTTTAAAGAACATCATGTTGGGGTCAAAGTTCAACTACAGAAAACAAACTTCCTGAAAAGATCATTTACAAAACCTAATTTATCATCGTGTATCATGATTAATGAAAGGCCTGAAGAGAATTCCCGAAACCCCAGCCATTTTAAGCCCTATGGAATGCAGTTCTACTCTAACACACACCGTCTCCATAGCAACTGGTCAGTATGATTATGTTTGAGTAGAGTGGCAAAACATATTGCTTGCCTTCTTATTTAAATCAGCCTTACTGGTTATTTCATATACACTAATTCCAATTACAGTTCTTTAAATTTTTTATTTTATTAATAGTGACAATATGGGTAAGATTTATTGAGCATTTTTAGATATCATGTTAAGAGCTGATAGGTTTATCTAATCCAGTGGTTCTCAACCTGTGGGTCACGATACCTTTGGGGGTCGAATGACCCTTTCACAGGGGTCACCCGATTCATAACAATAGCAAAATTATAGTTAAGTAGCAACGAAAATGATTTTATGGTTGGGGGGGTGTCACCACACCACATGAGGAACTGTATTAAAGGGTCGTGGCATTAAGAAGGTTGAGAACCACTGATCTAATCCAATCATCAAAGGTACAGATCATAAAACTCCCACTTTACTGGTGGGAAAACAAGACCCACAGAGGTTAAGCAATTTACGCTAGGTCTCACTGCCAGTGAAGGAGCCCATATTTGAAAAGGCACCTTAAAATAATTAGCTATTGATCTCACACCAAGACCTGTGAGACTTACATTACTCAATTTACTAGGTTTTTATATGAAAATGAAAAAGGAAGTCTTTGGACAGTGAAAATACAGAATTCACTCAGGAGTAACTTATGGCACTATGTATATAGATAATGAGCTAATATGATCACCGAATTTGACACATTGCTAAATATCCATGATCTTACATTTTTCAAAGAAGTCTCATAATGATCCCTAAAAATCACTTGTCTTGATTGTTGTATACACTAGTGAGCTATCAAGACATATTCATTGATAGTTCTCTTTAAAATCCTGAGTTACCTTTCAAACTGTTCTACTTATTTGATAAACTTTAAATAAGATGGATTTCAGAGGGAAAAAGGCAATTAAATTAGGTAGAAGAAGTGAAAATGTAAGTTTACTCTCCTAAAGTTGCTGATGGTAAAAATAATAAAAGGTCTTTTTCTTTTGACAGCCTTCCTTAAAAGAACAGCTATTGATAAAGCTTTATACTTAATATTATAATACACAAACCTGTCTTTGACAGTATGATTCTTTGAGTTTCTTGAGATGTGTTGTCATTTTCACCTTGAAGTGGATCTCACTGCTATCCTAAGGAGAGAAAACAAGAGGATTCCCCTTTGTATAAACTGCGTGTTTTGTTTGCATCAAATCATTTAACCACATATACAGATCAAAGAAAAATGCAAACACTCTAATCTACAGTTTCCCACCAAAATATGTACTTTTAGCATAAAGGAGAGAAGCCAGGCTTGAAGCTTTCTTAGGCAATAAAAATCTCAGAGTCTGGAATCTGCCTCTTTTAGAGCTTTGACCATTTTCTCTGACAGGAGTCATTTTCTATGTTTTGAATTGCTTTTATAGGCTTGTAATAATTCATACCCATCTCTTGTTATTTTGAAAATAGAATGGGTACTAAAGTCAACGAATACAGTCTTTGAATGCAAGGGCATTAGTATTTTTACTTATACTGCTAATTTTAACATATAGGACTGATAATCTTAATATAGGTTGTATAGCACTAAATGTTAGAAAATATATTAATATATGAAAAGATTAGATAACTTTTCTTTGGTAATTTATATAAAACAACTGTGAGAATAACTTAATTTATAGTATTGGAATAAAAGTTATCTAATTAGGTCAGACTATTAATCAAGGTTTCTATTTTGAGGTTCTGAAACGATAGCGTTAACAGTGTGTGACAAAAAAGGCCTGATTTTGCGGGGTGGGAGTGGTGGTAAAAAGAGCTGATACCAAGGGCTCAAATAGAAAGTAAATGTTTAGAAAATGATGATGGCAACATATGTACAAATATACTTGATATAACTGATATATGAATTGTTGTAAGAGGTGTAAGAGGCCCCCAATAAAATGATCTTTTAAAAATGAGGGGGCCCTGATTTTTGGCAGATTGGGGACTGGTTTTGCCACCACAAACGCACCTGCTCTTGCAGCCACCTGAGTGTGCTAGTTTTTGGTTAAAAACAGCATGACTCTCTTGCCCACACACCTGGCTCACCTGACCTCGCTCCATGTGACTTCTTCTTGCTTCTGTGAATGAAGAGGGACATGAAAGGGCAGCGATTTGAAGATATAGAGATGAAAGAAAAAACCAGGGCGGTGCTGTCAGCCATCCAAACAGATGAGTTTGAAAAATGTTTCCAAGAATGGAATCGCAGATTTGGCAAATGTATAAAGTGTAATGGAGAGTACTTTGAAGGTGATAAGGTTGTTTGTTAAAAAAAAATTTGTAATACATAGCTTTGTGTGTGTGTGGGGGGGGATTCCAGGGTTTTTTGGGGGGATGGGGGTACCCCCTCATATAAAGAACAAAATACCAACAATAAGTAAGAAAAATACAAACCTTTAAGACCCCAGACACTATTCCGATAGCCTGGTACCACCTACTTTCTTGTCTTTTTCTCTTGTTTTTAAGTCATTTTACTGAGGGCTCGGTACAGCTCTTATCACAATACCATCTACTTTCTTCACCACACTTTGCTGTAGTACCCTTATTTCATGAGGGTGACTAGTAGGGCCATGTTATCAGAACTAACTGTTCTTGAATTGGGGCTAGAGGAGCCCAGATGCCATCTGCTTGTCCATGGGGTTTGCATGTCTCAGGTTTATTTTGGCAGTCATAATATGACAAAATCAAAACCCTATACAACTATCTGCATTAATAGCACCCATAAGCCAACCAGCAACCAAACAGATCACACACACACACTCACTCTCTCTCTCTCCTAGGTTAAGCACAGTGTCAGTGAAACAGGTTTAGAGAAGAAAATTACATTGTGGGGACAGGGGGACATGGTGAATTTGAGGTGAGACACCCAACGGAGTTCTGCTGGCACCATCAGGCAAGCCTTGGAAAGCTAACTGCCAAGTTGGAGGGTCGAACCCAACAGAGAAAGATGGGTTTGAAAGATGAAGCTACTTGTTCCCTTGAGTGCTTACAGCCTCAGAACCTACGTCACTGAGTTGGAATTAGCTCAATGGCAGTAGGTTGGTTTTATGAGCCATCCAAATAGTAATAGTGAGTACATCATGTGCATACATACGTACATTCACAGAGAGAACATCCAGCACCAAATTTTTACAGTGATCATTTCTGCAGAGGATGATTATGGGAGATTTGACAAAATCAAAATCCTGTAAGATCAACTGCATCGATAGCAGCCAAGCAACGACCAAACAGAACACACATACCCAAAAAAAGAAAAACAAAAAAATAGCAAGTTGCAATGAGGAAAGCAAAAACACATATAAACAAAGAAGTACAGCATTGTCGATCACCCCACTAGGATATAAGTCAATTGTACTATCTATCTTTATCAATTTTCCCCATGACCCAGCACTCCAGACATGGTCTGAGGAGTTTGTGTGAGTGCAGTTCCACCTTGAGCCACAACTCACCTCATGTTTGCCCTACACAGTTCCACTCTCATTTGAGTGGGCTCTGTTGGCCCTAAGTACAGGTGCTGATACCAGGGGGGCCTTCCTAAGTCAATTCCTCCAAGTGCAGACCCCTGCTCAAAGGATCCCAACCTGTCATGTCACTGCAGGGTGGGCACTGAGGTACTACATGTATGGTGATCCTAGATCCCTTTCCACTGGACACCCACTTTGAGGGCCAGGGGTTCCCTCAAAGTCCAATGACCATCACTTTCACAATCCTGCAACAGCCACTCCCTGCTTCCTTTCCCATCCAAGTTCCCCAGCCCTCAGCCCAATGGTGTAGGCAGCTTCAAGGTATGGTTCAGTTCATTCAGCGGGGCCTCTATGTTAAGCCCTTCTGCTGTAGCCCCTGCACTGTGCCCTGCTGCCTGCCAGGTCACCTTCTGTGATCATCCTGTTGTGGAAATCTTTACAGGGGCCAACAAGCTTCATCTTTCACCCATGGAGTTACTGGTAGGTTTAAACCATCAACCCTGTGGTCAGCACCCCAAAGCTGCTTCCAACGTGCCACCAAAGCAGAGATTCTTTCATTCTTTCCAGACAATCAAACAAACTATCAGATAACTATCAGGCAAAATACTGTCACCTGTATACTATAAAATTACAGTGGATCCCTAAATTATGTACCATTTTCTTGAAGGGCTGATGGCTTTGAACTGCTGACCTTGTGGCCAACAGGCCCAGCACATAACCACTACACCACCGGGGCTCCTCCAAACATTTTTCATATATGAACATTAGTGTGGGTCTCATGTTTGCAATATTTTCGTGATTATAACTATGAATAAACAATGTGACACCATGGCACTGAAGTGATATTACTTGGTATGGCTCTTCTTAACTTAGTCTTTGTAACTCCCACCAAATGACTGAGTGAGATCATGCAAATAAGGGTGTTTTAGCTAACATAAGGATTGATCAATTTTGCCATTCCACTGGATATAAACTGAGTCATCCCAGAAACAGGAACAAAGAATTCCACGACTGGCAGAAAAGAGCCACCAATGGGGCAAAGAAGATCTCTATGGCAGTGTTGAGTGAGGTGGGGTGCTCACAACAACTGCAGAGGCACCAGAGACCACAGATGGGCGTTTTTCAGCACACAAAAAGCTTTGAAACACTAGCCCACGCAGGGCAGAAGCTAAAGGACCAACCAGTGGCTAAGAACCGGAAAGAGATGTGCCTGTCAGCATGGCTAAGAGGCACTACAGAAAAAGGGCAGTATCCTTAATTTTTTTTAATCCTGACTTGTAACCAGTTAAATTCCCTAGTAAACCCCATAATTGCTAGTAATATGAATTCTAAGTGGCCACTACAGTGGATTATCAAACTCAAGAAAGAAATTCAGTGCCATGGGTGAGACGGCTGGTGTCAGAATGGAATAAATAAGGTTAGAAGGCAGAGGCAAGGCATGTCAGACCTTTGTCTGTCTCATAGGAATCATCCCCGGGCAGATAAGAGTTGGATTTTCTTTCTCCCTTGTATAGCCAGATGAGGCCAGGTGTGACGCCATTCTTCAACAACACACATTTACCGTTGATTGATTCTCAACAAAAATGCTAAGGCAATGCAATGGTGAAAAAAATCTTTCAACAACAATTGCTGAGACAACTGGATACCACATGCAAAAAATGAACGTCACACCATATATAAAAATTAAATCAATGAATCAAATTAAATAGAAAAAATAATGGGACTCACCTGTCCAATAACTTTGAGTTTGATGTACTCGCCTTCTTTCTTATCCCCCAAGTCTTCAGTTGAAGGTTTTGCCTCCTAAAAAAGAAAAGAATTTAAAGATAAAAATTTCTATATGCTATTTCATTAAAGAGCAAATACATCACTTGGACGGCTAAGGTGGGCCTACCGCAAGCCATTGTACTTTTCAATTGCCTCATGTGCATGTGAAAACTGGACAATGGATAATGAAGTACTGAGGCTTTTGAATCATTGTGTGGGCAAAGAATACTGTATACCATGGGTTACCAGAAGAACAAACAAGTATGTCTTGGAAGAAGTACAATCAGAATGCACCTTAGACTCCAAGACTTCATCTCACGTACTTTGGACCTGCTAACTAGTCCCTGGAGAAGGACGTCATGCTCGATAGAGTGTCGGTGAAATGAGGAAGACTCTCAACAAGACAGACTGATAACAGTAGCAGTAACAATGGTTTCAAGTATAACGATTTTAAGGGTGGTGCAGGATTGGGTAGTATTTCAGTCTGTTTTTCACAGAATTACTATGGCTCAAAACCAACTCAGTGGCACCTAAAATGTTCTAATTCGTCACCTAAGAACATCTACTATTTTCCCTCAAGACACAAAATGTCCAACTGAGAACACAAAGAGCAGTTATTTTCTCTGCCAGCCAATTAAGGGCGAACAACCCAAACCTACATCAGTTACTGTCCCAAACTTGAGTTTCTTTAAGAAACTTAGAAAGGGGATTCTCTTTTTTACAAAATATTCTAAATGGTTCTCAAAATTACTGTATATACTCGAGTATAAGCTGACCCAAATATCAGCCGAGGCACCTAATTTACCACAAAACCTACATATAAAAATGTGCTGGAAAACTCGGCTTCTATGCGAGTATATACAGTATAATCAACAGAGGGGGTGGGGGGGTGTGTGTGCTATCACTGCAATGGAGTCCATCTGAAAACTAAAAAAAACCAACAACCCTAAACTCCCTGCCTCTAGTTCATTCCAATTATAGCAACCTTATAGGGCAGAATAGAACTACCCCTGAGTCGCTGAAGCTGTAAGTCTTTAATGATGCAGAAAGCCTGTCTTTCTCCTGCAGTCTACCTGAAGAGGTGGTTAAACACACCACTGCTCCTCTTTCTCCCCAGTTTTTGAATCAGTGGGTCAAGGATGGAGCTGAGAATTGACATTTCTAACAAATGAGTTGTATGGCAATGCTGCTGGGACAGGGGAACTACTATCCTACAGTCAATTCCTAGAAGCCAAATGTAAATTATCTTCCATGAATTCTTAACCAAACATTCTCTACCCAAAGCTACCTTCTTCCAGGCAATCCTAAATTAATTATTCTAGATATCTGAACTGTACTAAGAAAATGTAAACTCAAAAAAAAAGAAAGAAAGAAAATGTAAACTCGTCATGTTAGCATAAGTGAAGCCTAGTTCGGAAAGAAAAATCAAATACCAATACCTTATTCAACTAATATATCTAAAGGGAAAACAAATCAGCCTTATATGTTATTTTAAACAATCCGAAAGCATTATACCCAAATTGCAGACTTGGCTGGGAAAAAAATTCAAAGAATTGGTCTGGACTAAGAAAAACCATAAACAGGTTAAGAAAGAAAAGGAAAGGAAAGACAAAAGTAGGTACAGAAACACTGGTATAAACAGGAACTGGAAACACGGAATCCAGCACAGATGATCCCTTCAAGACCAGTGGTGAGAGCGGCAATAATGGGAGGGTGGAGGGAAGGTGGGGTAGGAAGGGGGAATTGATTACAAGGATCTACATATAACCTCCTCCCTGGGGGATGGACAACAGAAATGTGGGTGAAGGGAGACATCGGACAGTGTCTAAGACATAACAAAATAATAATAATTTATAGAAGCAGGGAGGGAGGGGAAAAATGAGGAGCTGATACCAAGTAGAAAGCAAATGTTTTGAGAATGATGATGGCAACAAATGTACAAATGTGCTTGACACAATTGATATATGTATGGATTGTGATAAGAATTGTACGAGCCCCCAAT